TATTACTTTATCTAAAAATGAAATACTAATCTAACAAACAATAAAATATAGAAGAAGAAACAAACACATGTTTGAAAGTCATGTATAATATAGAAAATTTGAAACAATCTATTTGATTAAAACACTTATTATATAATATTATTATGTTTGAAAAACATTTACTATACATATCGTAAATATGTGATTACTATAATATATATCAATTTACAAGTGAAAACAAAATGTTTATATAACTATAAACAAAAACAAACACCCGCGCGGTTGCGCGGGTCAAAATCTAGTTCAAATTAAATCAACACAATTAATGTAAAAAGACGACCTTAATGTAAACTACCTTCAAAATATGGCAGATATCTATGTGTATACCGAAAACACATATTTTCTCCTACAAATATGGAATGTTCTAAAAGAATATATATCATCAAAATATGGAATATGGAAATATACTAATTATACTTAAATTAAACCAGTGGTTATTTATGAAATATAGTCTTGGGCTTACTTTTATTTTTGAACAAATTATATAGTTTAGTTTTTGGGCTTAGTATTAAGAAAAAACTCCAAAAAACATTGAATAAACTTTTCACCTTAAAAGATCAAAAAATCAATTATTATTTTCAGACCCAAAAGGTATTTAATATTTTTAATCATTTATTTAAATCATGTACTTTAAAACATGTTAATATATTTTTTTATTTTTAAATAACAATCACTTTTTTTTGATAAATTTCAATTGTAACTTTTAAATAATTTATTTTTTATTTTTCTTAAATAATTTACTGATTAAAAAAATGTAAAGCAAAATCAAAAACCAAATATAAAAAGTAAAATCCAAAACCAAAATCTGAAAACACATATTATATTTTTTTGCTTTTTTAATTTACAAAATAAACTATTTAATTTTTTTTTTTAATTTTTTTTCATCTTTTCAGTTTTAAATTATATGTTCGATTATTTGAGATTTGTTTGTTGGTAATATCAGTTCAAACTAACTCAGCGGGTTTAAAAATTAAAAACCCAAACCAAAAACTGAAAATGAAAAGTAGAAACTTAAAAACCAAAACCAAAGTCTAAAAATAAAAAGTGAAACTAAAAACTAATGAAAAATAATCATCACCACAAATTTTGATGAATTGATTTTATATCAAAATATTCTTTAAATTAAGACAAAACCTAATTATATAAAATTTTAATCATAAAAAATTTACACGCCTTTCAAGCGCGGATCAAAATCTAGTAATTATTAAACTAGCAACAAATATTACATAAAAGAAAAGAAAAACAAAAGAAATAAACCAAACCAAACTAGACCAAATACAAATCGGATTAATTGCTTTTGGCTGTGTTCTCGAAACTCCAGCTCCATATGTCATGACGCTCGACGCCACGGCCCATCGAACCGGAAAAACCGGTATACATTGTCTGAAGAACCACCTCAGAAAGATCAATATGTGTCTCAATCAGTGGCATCTTCGGTTTCTTCAAATGCGCAGGTGCAAGCGTAACACTGACCTTACTATCTTTATACTCAATCCAAGCCTTGTACTTATCTCCACTACTTAGCTTCACTTCCTTGAACAACAACTGTTTCTTTCCTCCAGTTCTTGTCTGAATCCAGTAACCAGCTTTCTCAGAAACCATCGAGTTAACAGAGTTAACATTAACACCAACATGATTATCATTAATATCGCCGAAACGTTTATCTTGGAAAACATCAAACTCGACTGCAAAGAGATGGTTATTGGGGTTGCCATTGGTTGTCTTGTTAACTAGACCGAGGAAGCCATGGGTTGAGTCTTGGTCGTAGTTTACGGTTGGGACCACGATGAAGGAGAGGCCATGACCGGGGTTAGGGTTTGACTTTCGAGGAGTGATGGAGAAAGTGAATGATGTTTTGAAAGAGTAAACAGAAGAAGAAGTGTTGTTGGAGGTTTTGAATGGCACTGGATCTGTGTAGAGACCTTGGCCATGTGAGAAGGGAATGTTGTCACGGGTCATGGAGAGAGCTCCTGACCGACTCATGCCATCGGTTGCTGGTCCTAGCTCAGCATAACCAATGAAGATTAGATTTGTTCCGTCAAAATTGTTAAAGTTGAATTTGACGGCGGAAATGGTTTCAGAGCTGAACAAAGCTATGAATAGAGCAACGAGACAGATGTTTTGGGTCTGCATTATGTGTTTTTCTGATGTGTTTGATTTGTTTTCTGGACGTGTGGGTTTATAGTATTATATAGAGTGACAAGAGCCAGCAACTTTGACTTTTCAAACATCAAATGATCAAGTTGGATAATGCCAAGTGGACACCAGAATGGACTCACTATTTTTATTCTGTTTTTCCTTTAAAACTATTATTTTCTTTATTCAGAGATTGATCCTTATTTGAATGTCAATTTTGTTTATGTTGTTGCTATTAATAATGTTTCTTTGTCAATGTTATTAATGTATTTACGTAATTTGTTAACATGTTCAATCGGAAGACCTAATTATAAATTATGCCGGATCATTGTGAGAAGGTCCGTAATATAGCAACTAGCAAGTACCAAGAAATACTTGTACACCGGCAACTTTTTTTTCTGAATTCTACACTACTAGTATTTAGTGGAGTAGCATATCAAACTGCAAAGCATCCTTTGGAAAGTGCATATAGGCTTATCTCAAGTGTCACAAAACTAACTTATTTATAATACTGATGATAGTTTCTTATTGGGTTCCTTCTGTTAGGTTCTACCGATCTATGTGGGTTGTATAATACATGATAGAACATTAACATCAGTACAACAAGAATTAATTGTTTTTGGTACAAGAATTAATTTTTTAACCAAAAAAACAAGAATTTTTTTTTTCTTTGTATTTTAAGTCTTTGGTAATACTGTCGGTTCTTTTTTAACATTCTTTAGTATTAGGGATAGTGTTGTAATCTTTCTTGAAATCTGAAAACCGATAACTCTAGCATTTACACTTCAATTATTAGCGGGAGCCACACTGACAGAAGCTGACAGAATAGTAGCAAACATATCTAAGAGCAAGATTATTGAGGTTCTTACTCTTGGTCCTTAATACACATATATATATGTATATATTATATATGCATATATAATTGCAGGTTAAGTACTTTACGGAATTTGATAAAAAAAAAGTATTTTACGGAAATCCAAACAGCAAGTTCCTTAATTAAGAAATTTTTAGTTTGGGTTTCCGTAAAGTCCTTAATCCACAAGTATATACGCATATATAATATATACATACAAATATATTTTTAAGGACCCTAATGCAAGGACTTCCAATAATGTTGCTCTAAAACCGAAGTAAAGCTCTCAAAATGAATAAACACGGTTTTCTAATTCTGAGATCTTGTGGTCCTCGACACCACGGCCCTTTGAACCGGCAAAACCGGCGTACATCTTCTCGAGCAGCACATTGGAGAGATCGAATTTCGCCTCAACCAAAAGCCGGTTCGGTTTCTTCAAATGCGCGAGCCCGATGGTAACCGAGATGAGCTTATAATTGTTGTTGTACTCGATCCAAGCCGTGTATTTATCTCCACTGTTCAGCTTCGAATCCTTGAATAACCAACCGTTTTTTGTCATAACCCAATAATCGAATTTAACCGAAACCACTGAGTCTACCAAATTGATGTCGATTCCGACATGGTTATCGTTGATGTCGTGAAAAGACTTGTCCTGAAAAACATCGAACTCAACAACAAACAGATGGTTACTTGGATTACCGTTGCTGGTTCAGTTCACGAGACTGAGGTAACCTAAACCAGAAACGGCGTCGTTTTTGTTATTAGGGACGAGGAGGAAGGCGAGACCATGACCAGGAGTAGGGTTTGTATTGTGAGGAGTGATGGAGAAGGTGAAAGAGGTCTTAAAAGGGTAAACAGAAGAAGCGTTGTTGGGAGGCTTGAAGGTGATTGGGTTGATGAAAATAGCTCGACCATGAGCGAAAGGAATGGTGTATCGGGTCAAAGCGAGGGCACCCGACCGGCTCATGCGACTATTTTCGGGACCATACTCTGCGTCTCCATGGAACGTGAAGAGATCGGAGCCATTAATACCGAAGTTGTCGAAATTGAATCTGTAAGCACAAGTGGTTTGAGAGATGGAGATACCTATGAAGATAGTGATGAAGCAGAGTGTTTGCATGGTCATATCTTTGTTTTCTTTTTGAGATGTGAATTCAAGACTCAAGATGGTCAAGTTTATAAGATGGAAGTTGTGTAATATTGTAAGGGTGACAAGATCGAGAGAACTTTTTATTGTTCAACAAGAAAAGTAATGGTAACGGTGAAAAAGAAGAGATGGTTACACTATAAGACACATTTTGTCTTTGTCTTACATAATAAGGCACATTGCACATGTAACACACTTTTTGGTGGGTCAGCAGTAGATTCTGGACAATTTTGTCCTTAATGAACGTTTTCTGTGGATGGATGATGTGTGGACGAGCGAGGCGTGGACAGGAGAGAACAATTTGTGTGGATGGATAATGTGTGGACGAGAAATGCGTGGACAAGAAATGCGTGGACGGGAGATACATGAATGGGTGATGTGTGGATGAATAGTATGTGAAAATGTGATGTGTGGATGAGTGATATAAATAAATATATAATAACCATATAAAAATTCTACTTTTTTCTTATTATTTTGATATCCATATACATATAATTTATATTTTACTGTTTAATTATTTTTTAATCATAATTTACTAAACATATTTTGTGGATGTGGACAAAGAAAATGTGAATAAAGATTTTGTGGACAAAATAATTGTGTATTATGGATAAAGAAATATGAATATTATGGACAAATAGTTGTTGATCAAACATATTGGATGTGATCAACCACCCATTTTTTGTTGCAATACGTAAGTAAAATTAAATTACTCATCTGAGAAAATGAAAACTTGAATATAGAAGATGTGGATGAGACAGAAACTAAAGACCACAAGGATGTAGGGACCAAGGTGGCAAAAAATAAGATAATTCGTTGGGTCTATTTTGCACTTTCAAAAAATCTGGTGCTTAATAATGGGGATCTCTCCACAATTTGAGAGTTTGAGCTAAAATAAAAACTAATCAAGAAAGCTAAGGACCTGATATGCAAATACTTTAAAGTACTCCATTGTCGTTCTCCTCCCCTTCGATCCATGACGGAGCTTGATTCCGACGATGAGCACGGCCACGGGACGATGAGCACATTTTGCGACAAGTGGATGACACGACGAGAGATCTAGTGGTAAAGGATTTGATGGCTTGTAATAACCTCATGGAATAGCCTAATAAAAAAGTCAAAACAAAGGGTTTTTCTTCAATTATAGTTCAGATGAATAGCTTTGGCTGATTGAACTCGTCAGTAACAGAAGAAATAAAGATAGTGGGTTTGTTGCAAAGGTACAAACCCAAAGATTCATATGAACGAATATGTTGAATTGGAAATTACCTGAAAACTAGGATTCATAATCTTCATAGCTTAAAGAAGAAAGTGGAGATATGTGATTGATTTCTGATAGGATTAAGGTTCTGAGATTTTGTAAAGTAAGAGGTTTGATTTGGGAATGGAATGGTCACGATTTAGTGGTCTTTGATAAGGGTATCAATGTCTTTTATGCATAATAAAATGTGTCACAAGTGCAATGTGCCTCTAAATGTAATAAAAAAGTCATAAAGTGTCGGTAGGTGTAAAAAAATTGAAAAAGAAAGGACAATGAAACTGATGAATTATAATGGCATTAGGTGACAAAAGTTGTTTTTCGAAGTTCACAAGACATGCCTTCTTTTTATGCTGCAAATAGATCTTTATAAGTGGTGGAGAGAAGAAAAAACACATTAGTTCACGGCGAGTTGGTACGCCCCACGCCTCCACCCCATGTATTCAAAGTTAAATTAATGAGATCATCTGATTTGTCGTCAGATGGGCATATTCTTTGCTCCTTTTGATCAACAAAATTATAGTTAAATTTAAAATCAAATAACTGTAAAATATAATTAAATTTAGTTTAAATATCTTTTTACTTTAATTACTCTACATTTTAGTCTAAAATAAAGCAATGAGTAAATATAGAGAGATACATACAATTTTTAAATAAGATAATTTCACTTTTAAATTTATTTAAAATTAAAAATGGATATATTAGAGAAATTTTATTCCAAAATAGCATTTATAGTATAAAATGGAGCTCAGTTAAGTTGCTGGATATTTTATAGAAAATAAAAATAATTTTATTTTACTCTAATTTTATTTTATTTAAAAAGTAAAGCAAATTTTTTTTTGTTCAACAGTAAAGCAGAATATTAAAGACATATAAATATAATAATAGATATAATTATTTTCTTTTGAATAATTAAATTTCTACTACATTTTGAAATAAATTTATACTACATTTGAAATTATAAAATGGAATAATGTATTGTTTGTTGATAACAATGGAAGAAGGTTAAAGAGAATTAATGGAAGAGAACTGGAGATGTCTTTTTTTTTTCTTTTTCTTTTTTTAATTGAAGATTTCGTTGCATGGCAAACAGCCAAACACATAGATGTTAGACCCTGTTTTAGATTATCCACAGGACGCCAATTTATTTGAATACAACACATGTCGTAATTAGGCATAAATGCGATAATGGGTTATTTGAAAAATGTTTGTTGAGGGATCAAATATTTGATCACAAGAGAAAAGACTAAAAATTTGTTGTGAATTTCCTCTTTTTGATGTGGGTATTTCCCTTTTATAACCGACTTATTTCTTTAAATAAGTTTACTCGATTCAGTTGCCCAAAAAGAAAAGTTTACTCGATTCTAAATCAATTGGGTCTGAGTTCAGCTTATTTAATAGACTTTGCTTGAGGGATGTAGTCATTTCAACTTGATTATACCAAATACAGTACTTATTAGTAAATTAAGAAATTATCTATTGTATTGTATTTCCATCACAACTTAAAAAGAATTGTGTGTTTATGGCTGTGTAACAAGTTATGCGCAAATGTATATGTAAATTCACCAACTTTTGTGTTTTGTATTCTTTAGTAACTAATTTCTACTTTTTATTGTGCTTATTGTTAGTGATTGTTGTCACTTGTAAAATTACAGGAACCAAGCAAGTAGCTTATTGAATTTGGCATTGACATTTGAATGGACGAGTATCCAAATAGCTAGAAAATAATATTTTGCTTTTGTATATTGTCAATGTGTCTATGGATATTTTGTCATTTACTTTCTATTTAAAACACTTAATAACTTATACTTGAAAATTTGTATGTATCTATGAAATTGTGTTTGGATAATATTTTATGTTTAACTTTAAGTAGTTAAATAAAATAGGTTAACAAATTGAGAAGATAATTATCAAATCAAGTCAAATAAAAATATAAAATCAAATAATAAACCAAATCAAGTAATATATAAGTATTCAAAAAAATTTCAAGTACTTGATATAGCAAGTATTTGTTTGGAATAAGTCAAAAACAAGTAAAATATACAATTACTTAAATAAACTAAGTCTAGTAGCAAATACCTCAAAAATACTGGATAATTGCCTTGTGCCCACGCCTAATAGTACTATCAGTACAACAAGAAGTTTTTTTTTTTCTTTTTCGGTATTCTAAGTCGTTGGTGTGTTCCAAAACAAATGTGTTTGGAAAGGTAGCATGTGGTACTTCCTCCGTTTTATATTAAGTGTCGTTGTAGAGAATTTTTTGTGTTACAAAATAAGTGTTGTTTTCGGTTTTCAATGCAAAATTTATTAATTTTATTACTACCTCCGTTTTATATTAAGTGTCATTGTAGAGAATTTGTTGTGTTATAAAATAAGTGTCGTTTTCGGTTTTCAATGCAAAATTTATTAATTTTATTATGTAATTTGTGTTTCTATTGGTTAAAATATGGTTAGATGTGTGGGTAATTGTGTTTTTATATAGGAAATATGTAAAATTAATTATTTCCTTAATCCGTGTGCATAGCTGTAGAGTGACACTTATATTGAAATAGAGGGAGTATGCAATTTGTTTTTCTATTGGTTAAAATATGGTTAGGTGTGTGGGTAATTGTGTTTTTATATAGGAAATATGTAAAATTAATTGTTTCCTTAATCCGTGTGCATAGCTGTAGAGTGACACTTATATTGAAACAGAGGGAGTATTTTCTTTTCTTGAAATCTGAAAACTTGATAACTTAAGCATTTATTCACTTCAACTATTTGCGAGAGCCCACACTAACAGTGGTAATAGAAGCTATTTAGACCGAGTATACTCAGTTTATTATTAATAGATTCTTACTATGTTAGTCCTTTTTAAGTTCCACGGATGTGGGTTGTATAATATAAAAATAAATACAGTATAATTTCTTTAAATTAATATTATATAAATTAATATATACTAAAAATTTCTATACAATAATATAATTTTATAGTTTCAAAATAAATTTTTAATTCAATTAATAATTGATAAGTTAATAATCTCTATAAATTAATAAAAAATTTATAATTTTATTATATAATATTAATTTATAAAAATTTTACTTATTATTTTTGGTATTTGAAGTCTAGGTAGAATGTTGTATTCTCTTTTTGAAATTTGAAAACAAACAACTTGAGCATTTATTCACTTCAATTATTAGCGGGAGCCACTAACAGAAGCTATCAAAACAAAATAAAAAAACAAACGAAAACCGATTTAAATCGATCTTGAATCGAATAAACCCGGTTTATATTAATTCTGGAAAGTCCAGTCCCAGATCTCGTGACGCTCAACACCACGGCCCATTGAACCGGCAAAACCGGCGTACATCTTCTCGAGCAGTACATTAGAGAGATCGAATTTCGCTTCAATCAAAGGCCGGTTCGGTTTCTTCAAATGCGCGAGCCCAATCGTAACCGAGATGACTTTATAATTGTTGTTGTACTCGATCCAAGCCGTGTATTTATCTCCACTGCTCAGCTTCAAATCCTTGAACAACCAACCGTTTCTTGTCATAACCCAATAACCGGATTTAACCGAGTTTACCGAATCGACAGAATTAATGTCGACTCCGACATGGTTATCGTTGATGTCTTTAAAAGACTTGTCCTGAAACACATCGAACTCAACAGCAAAGAGATGGTTACTTGGATTACCGTTGCTGGTTCGGTTCACGAGACTTAGGTAGCCTAAACCGGAACC